TTGGCATAAAAAATAAAGCATTGAGCATTCTTCTGGGGTTTATGATTTTATTTTTAATTTTATGAATGTCAATCCATAATCTTTGTCACAAAAAGTTTAATAAGCATGTCTATAGTTTAAACATTATTTTGTGTACCAAAAAACACAGTCACATGAAAAATTACTCTTTACAAATATCCTATTTATTACTTTTTGAAATGTGTCTACTCTATAAAATTAAAACAGTGGGTTTAGAATCAGCAGGTTTTCTCCTGCTGACATGCAAACGATGCAGTTATGTAATACTGAAAAATATTTGGATCTAATCAGACCCAATCGAAACTGTCTTTATTATCAATAAACAAATCTTATTCTCTCCCAAAACAGGAAGGAGAGGAAACAAAGGAAGAGAAACTTTAAAAATAGTTTAAAAAAAAAATGTACAGATTTTGTTTGGACTTGCCCCTTGTACATGTTTTCTTTCAGGCATAGTACTTATTACCATGCGTGCTCATGGAAAACTAACTCCTAGCAAATGTGTGTATTAGCGTATTTTTTAAAACATAAAAATCAATATTAAACTATGATGGCTTTACAATACTATAATGACAAGCACCTTCTCTATGACATTTTCAGAGAGGAGTCATGTTTAAGCTGATTCAAGTTTCTCAAAATAACAGACAGCCCTTTGGAGTCACTTTTGAAAAAGAGATACAAACTGTGCCCATTCCTTCTAGCTTCTGTAGTGGTTAATGTTCACACGTGAGCACACTTATGGGACATGCAGGTTAATTTACTCTGAACTATGTTGATGTTCCCTCCTACTCTAATGCAGGCGTATACACGAATAACCCAGATTTCTGTTTCAGTTAGTTTCCTAAGGAGTGAAAACAAGGTGAAGGTAGATTTCTGGAGACCAATTACTTTTTAACACGGGATATTTACAGGTTTGAACATAAAGTATTTTATTAGAGAAAATGTGAATTGAAAATTACTGTTTGGAGTCTACTATCATTAACAGTCACTGTTTCTGTTCAACTCAATGTGCCCACAAAGAAGGCTGTAACTACATTTTATTGTGGAAATACCTGGTCTCCTACAAATGTTGGGTGAATTTCCATTGGGGCTTTATGCTGTATTTATGATATAATAAAACTATTATGTTTTCAACTTTCATTTAATAATCCTTTGTATTTCCACACAAGGAACATACTCCCTTTTTATACGAAAGACGTCCCAGACACTCTCTGACTTTTATAAGTGCTTATTTTTCCATGACTGTATGATGTGTTTATATGTACAGTCATAAAAGATTGACTTAGGATTTCAAGTCCTTCAGGAGGATTTTTTTTTTAAGTGATCTGCACTTTTAGGGTTTGTTTAACTATTTTTTAAATGAAGAAAATAAGATATTTCAGATTGTAATGAAGTGTAGTTTGTAGTGAAGTGCAAAGTAAACAAACACATTTTCTAACAAAAGAAAACAAAATAAAGGACTTCCAGGGAAATAGCTTCTTTGTATACTTTAATTCTGACATCAATAGCATTTATAAGCTAGCAACCATTTAAAGTAGTTATGTTTCCATTAAAAGCTTTAGTACATGTTTATTGAAAAATATTCCCCTCCTCTCCACAACTAAACATGTAACACAAGCACCTAATTACGCATATTCATTCTAAATTAAAAAATAATAGAAGTATAAGGTTTACATTCTGGTATCCTTTATACTTTGCAATACCTTCTTCAAAGGTAAGGCTATTGAAACACTGCTTAAACACAGAGCAGACTACTACTCAACCTGGGTAAAAAGAGTGTCAGAATATTATCCTAATGGCGGTAACTTTCATAGAACAAATGAATGTTCTTTTCCAGAAAATGGACCATTAGATACCAATATAAAAACCCCTAATGTTTAACATACACTTAGTCATGAATTGCAGAAGGCAAACATAATGCCTAAATCCATCAAATATGTCATGAGATTGGTGTTCGAACAATGAGAGCAGACATTACCAAATGACACAGAAAAAGGTCAAAGAAACAATGTATGGTAGAAAAGGCATCAACAAACTTGCAAATCACTTAAGCAAAAACTATTTTAATGCATCAATTTAAATAAAACCGTGTTATAAAATACAGGATTTGTATGTTTACCTTTAAATGTTTGCTTCCCCTACTTGCTGAATAGAAATACTGAATCACTAGCTGAGATAAACTATGCATTATTTTGCTTAATTATCACAAACATGTATTCACCAACAAAGCAAAAAAAGAAAGCCAAAATAAACCCTAGCTATAGTTTCCATTTTGGAAGCAGAATCTTTTTGATTAGGAAGTACAGCATTTCTTGGACGAGCCTTTAATTTTTTCCCAAGCTACAAACATTTCAGTCTACTTCTAGCAATATAAATGCATATACATACAAATTGCTGGTTTGATAATATCTTCCTGCCCTTCTACTTTCCCTCCAATGTCCTGCTCCCAGTTCACCTATTTGTAGCAGCTTCTCAGAATTCCCTCATATAGGTATTCAAGATAATTTCTGAGGCTTACTAGTGGCTTTGGTATAAGCCACTTAAGAAAAAGTTAGCACTATTTGTTGCAAGCATCAGCAAACAGCATAAGATGGGTAGATTTCAGATTTACTCCAGAAGAGTCAACAAGCTCATCTTTTCAAAATGAGGGGGTGGGATGTTGATTTTTGTTTTTCTGATCGTTGTTGTTTGTTTTAAGATGGAACTTACCTTTTTCAACTGTGCTTCCAACTTACTACACTCTTCTTTCTTTTGTTCTATGGCTATTTCTAAAGACTTAAGTTTGGAGTCTCTTTTCAGCCCTGCTGATGCCAATGAAGATGCATGTTCTTTGAGATCGATTAAACTAGACTGAAAAATGACCAAGAGTAAAAAGTTAATTCCTAGTCACCAGGACACTAACTTATTGCCAACTTAGTAATCATTTGGATCCTGTTCCCCCTCCCCTTCCCCAAAGAGTTGACACAAAGATAAGTAGCAATAGCAAAAGACACCGTTTTGAGAATACAACCAACTGGAATCACAGGAGCTGGCATGCACTGAAACATAGAAACATTCATAATACGAACAAGTTGACATTAGATTCTGGAGGTACAATTACTTTGAAGTCTATGGCTCTAACTGACAAATGAAAACAGGAGCAACAATGGAATATTTGAGCCTCCTGGAGGCTTCTATAAAAGAAAATGTAGAGAAAACGACACACGACTATGCAAAAACTGAAGCGATATTTTATGTACAGAAGTGAGGACTATGAAGAATGCTTAAGAAAACAGCAGTTCAGAAGCTGACCACTGAAGTGGCAGACTTTCAGTACTTAAAATGATTCAAGAGTAATCCTTATTCACTTCCTTTCATCATAATGACATAGATAGAAGAACATAGATTTTACTGAAAAGACTGACCTCTTTTTCTGTCAGTTCAGCTTGTAAAGCATTAACTTTCTCCTTCAGGTCTTTGTTTTCTTTTTTATAAGATTCAATTTCTTCAAGTCTTTCTCTGTCATCTCGCTCCCTTTGCTCCTTCAAGCGCTCTATTATTCTTTCCTAACAAAGGAAAGAATTGCAAAATGGAAAAGTTGAGAATCATTTTAAGAAAAGACAGAATAAATTGCCTTTAAGTTTCACTTAGAAAAACCAACCTTCAGAAGCAGAGGATGACTGAGTTAGTGGTATTAAAGTCAATGCAAGATTCCCCCGGATTTCAAAAGCATCAGATCAAGGTTTTAAACACTTGATAAGCATAACATAGTACAGAAACTTGATTAAATATCTATACGGATAAGAATACGACCAATAAGAATACGTTTAGTCTTATGATAGATATGGAAAGATATTCATGTCAGTAATATAGTTCCTGTATTCATAAGTGATTAAAGTCTTGAATAAAAGTTCAAAACAGAGAGGCCAGAGTGGTTTACTCAGCTTGAATTTGGTTATGTTTTTTAAATGCTAGTAGCCTCTATAGTGGTTGCAAGAAGTTTTCAAGGTTTCAAACCTAATTAGAAATCAATCACTTGCTAACTATCAGCAACTTAGAGTTCATATGCATTATATTTTGAAAGGACCAAAAAAAAAAGAAGGTGTCCAAGACACAGATAAAGTACCTTGATACAACTTAAGATACCCAAAGGAAGATTTTTCTCCATCTAATTAACAGTAACCCGACACACATTTAAAGTCCACCACATTTTAAAATATTTTGCTGACTTCCAGTTACTCTAATAAGGATTGCTGAAAATCACCAGTCAAGGATTGGGTGATGAAGTCAAAGGGTGAAATGTAAAAAGCAGGTGTGGTAGTATGGCTTTATTAAGTTTTGATTACATTCTTCAAAATCACATTCTACCAATACTTGAAGGACGCAAATAGTAATCAGAGAGTAATATTTAGGGTAAAATAAAATAGCCACCTGAAATGCATTTGAATTGGGAATAGGTCAACTGAAGCAGAGTATCAGGGGAACTACTAGTATCATTTTAGAATTGGTAGTCAGGGGGGCAGTGGAAGCAACATCATTTACGGAAGTTAAACCTACATCAGACAAAACTACATCCTAAGTTCTACACTACCAGCGGTGTGGCTCAGGTGGAACCATCAGCATAGTCACAGATCCCATTCAAGTCCTTTTGTACTTATGCTTGAAATCTCCAAGAAGGAATTTAAGAATGGGATCAATACTCAAAATACTATTTCATAGAACTGGACAAGACCGATGGAAGCCTAATATTATTAGCAAAAGAAAAATCTCATACTAAATCCCTCTGTCCACGATTCCTTATACTGCCATATATACACAAACACACACACCAGAGATACAGAGAGATATATACACACAGACACATATATATACACACCACACTTACACAAAGTTTCCCTTTGCCCTTATCAATATACTCTCAGCTATGGTTATTATATATCAACAAACATTACAATGCAAGCAACATTTCAGCAGCTGTACATCCCATTCTGATTTGTAATAAACTCAGTCATTATAACGAAATAAAAAAAATAATTCATTATCAAAGTTGCCTTAGGCAGTAACAGCACTCTTTAAAAAGCATATATTGTTCAGACAATCCTGATTATTCATTCATTTTCTCCATACACTAGGTATGATGTTCCTCCAAGCCCTAGAGGATCTTCTGATGATTGCTTCTGTGCTTTTTAAAGTTCAAGGTATATTTTGCAAAAAGCCAACTGTCAACACTTATATGCGCATAAAAAAGAGCCTAAACTCAGGCTGTCGTTTTCATCCCAGCAGTCTTCAACCTTGCAGATATTCAAAGCCCAGCTGGACAGGATCCTGAGCAAATTGCTCTAGTTGACCCTGCTTTGAGCAGCTGGGTTGGACCAGATAATCTCCAGAGGTCTTTTCCAGTTTCATTGGTTCTGTGGAATAGGCAGAGACATTTTCTAGATTCTGTACCTCAAACACTGTTTTTTTTCTCTTCTGCTCAGTCTCTCTCCCCCCATTTTCACAATTCATCCCTTTGTAACACTGACCACATCAGCAACTCTGCTGACAACTGTCCATTGCCGCTGCTTCTTGTCTGTTCCTCCTCTCGTACTGGAAAGGAAACTAGTTACTAGAAAATGGAACACACACATAGTGTTTTCAGAAAACTGGGAAGTTTTCCGTAAGTGTCCCCTTGTACTTTCAGCTTTTATACATCTGCCTTTCACTACACATCTGTTGAAGATCTCCCATTTATTCTCTCTTCTATCATTTAAACGCCATATTATCTGCATGTATAAAGTTAAAAACTCATAATCAGTTTCTGTATGAACTGAATAAATATTTTATTATTTTTAATTACTGATTTAAAACTTGATCGCACTGAAATCAATTTGACTTTAATGGGTTATGCATTTCCCTGAAAATATTTAAATGACAAGTCAAGAAACAGAAAAATTCAGCTTCTCATATTGACCTTTGCTTATTTGGAATGTCTCTAATGTTTGTAGTTGCTTACTAGAGAGCTAATTGTAGACCCCAGTGTAAGTGCAATTAAGCATATTAGAATTTTAATTTAGTTCCTCATTTTTATTTTAAATATTTAAAAATTAACTTACTTTTGCATTATGTTTATACAGCAAATGTAAGCTATAGTGCAACATATTTTATTATGTAACATGAGATATTAAGATCAAGTATCAAAAGCAGATGTGGGGTATTAATCTTCATAGATGCTTACTATATAACTAGTCTATTATTGGATATGAAACTAGACTTAAGTGAAAAACATGATATATTTCAAATATATTCCTTATAGAACCATTTCAAACATTTATGTTCCTCTGATAAATTAATTTTTTTCTTCCAGTTATATAATATTGGCTTCCAGCTGTAACAATTTGTTTCACCAATGGTCAATGTTTTTAAAAATTAATCACATGGAGTATTTTATAATGTAATTATATGTATTGGTAAAATTCACGTTAAATATTATTAGAAAGTTTTAAATAGTTAGCTTTTGAATCCTTTAGGCATTAAAAAATAATTGACACTATACTGAATAATCTTGTAGTAACTCTATTGGTATAGTTATTTGCTACTCAGTTCCTAAGGAAAGCCTTTCCAAAGGGCTGGAAGTCCATGGCGCTACTTTCATTTTGCATCCAGTATTCCCCTGACATCAGGGATTCCCTTTCACAATCTAGCTAACTGAACATACAGATTACCAAACTAGCGTTACTGTAAGAATCTGCACAGAAGACAGTGTTGACTACTCATATAAAACTCATATCCCTACTTATTTCACTCAGAAAGAAATACACGTTGATGACATACTACAGCCCACTTAGCACGCAGTACAAAATATAGGGCCCAAACTAAAGGTGGGCTACGTGTAGTTCAGTCTGTTCCCAAGACAGCATCAACCGTCTGCGCGCTGAGATCCCTGGCGCTGCAGATGTAGACGCCTCCTGGCTTCATTCAGCCCCGGGACAAAATCTCCCTTTGACTCATACCTGGCAGGATTTTCAGGTAGAAATGTGTTCATACAGAAGGAAGGTCCTTCAACAGCAACAGTGCTGACTATTACACAAATGACAAACCAGCAATTCTACTAGTTTATTTTTTTAAAAAAATTACTGTTAGCTGGCTTTTGCTATATAGATTATGCAAGAAGGGGATGATATGGAATACGATATAACTTGAAGTTTATTCCTAGTAACAAATAGTATATATTCTTAATCCCTTGAATATTCACTTTAAAATGCCGTCCTACACTAAGTGGAATAGTTTAATAACCATTCAGAATTCACCTACTTATATTCAGATGTGGTTTTATACCAATTCCTTCTTGAGGATTTATTTACCTAAATGATTTTTTTCTTCTATAACAAATTAAACATAACACTATTTCATCTTATTAATGAAGAGTATCAATTTTTTCTTCAGTCAATCACAAAAGAAGACTAATTTAACTGTCAGCTGCATAAGGCTAAATGTGAAAAATGTGTAAAAAGGCCCTAATATACCATGTTTTACTTGATTAACAGCTAACTTGCAGAAATCCCAACAATGTGTTCTTGTTTCAGTCTTATTTGCATTGGCAAGCTTTCCTTAGGCACTAATCTAGGACCTCACAGGTCTAATCTATTTGCACTTTATCACAGAAGCAGGAACTGAATTGCCACAGCATATAGCTCTATTATCAGACATACTCAATTGCTTATCTGCTGTATGCTGCTACAGTAGGACCAACTTTATAAATATCAGCTTCATGAAAGCAACCTCTTGAGCTGCTTTGGGCCAGTCCAAGAGCTCAGATATTCTTTGAAAAGTTTCTTGTTAAAACATCAAGGAAGCTGATAGCAGTTTTGCACATTCTGATTTTCAAACTTTTTTTGGTTTAATAGGCATGAACTTATTTTTTGTTTATTGCAATGTAACCTTTATTGTTGTTAAGAATTTTCAGTGCTTAGGAGAGGCTCCAAACTTAGGGGTAGGGAATTAAATACCTTTTTCAGTTTAGTTCTAAATTGCACTCAAAAATGACTTAAGTTGTGCTGATTCGTTTCTGATTCCTGACAAGAGAACAAATTATGTCAGCAATATTGCCAGAAAAATACAATTATTAAAAGGATTACGTTTCAGTAAATTTTTATGCTGCTTTATTATGTCAGTTTCTCATTTAGAGTTAACATCTACCTAATCACTAAATATGAAAGAGAAAGAAAATGAGACACAGATACTTAGAAAAATCTATTTTCACAAAGAATGAGGAGCTATATTTACTAATCCAGAGGCAAAAATCTCAATCTGAGTATTTTCAAGAACGATGCAGGAAAAACATGAATGCTCAAATATTTGCGTTTTGGACTTTAAAAATAGCTTCGTAATTCATTCACATCATGTGATCATGTTTTAGTATTTTTTTCTTCCCATAGAAGCCATGAAAAGCAATTAAATTTAATTTCAGTGAATTGTGGTTAACTAAACCGGTATAAATAAATTTAGTTTCTATTTAAGAGAGCTTCCCATGATGCTCTTGGAGTATTTTCTCCAAATTCTAAAAACTATTGAATTGGCCTAATCCTGGAGTATAAAACAAGATGATATATCTGCAAACTAGGCCTGATATAATTTCTAGGGGAAAAAAACCCAAACAAACAATGGAAATCAAGTATCCTTGAATGAATGTAGCATCCTTTCTTGAGAGCATTAAAAATTTAAATTTATAAAAGTACATATATTGATGCACTTGTTAATAAGAGTCTATCGCTAAAGATTCTTGTTTCCTCCCATTTGGACAAAAATCTATTCCCTATATTTACCAGTATTTTCAGTGGAAAAAATTAATAACTATTGATAAAGTCTGTAGGTCTTAAGAATGCTATTGCAGACAGAAATAGGGATTAAAAAGCTGGAATTTGAAAGCTGGACACAAACAGGAATGAGACACATACATAAACATAAACTGTTAAAGTATTTAGCTGCCAGAGGACGCAAGAAAGCTAGACATAGTTCATTTGGAACTTCTAGAAGATGCCTACTGGCATCTTTCAACGTAAAAGTACCTCCCAGAGACTACACTTAAGATTGAGAAACCTACCCTTGAAAGCACAGCCTTCAAGAAACTTTCAATGGGAAAGAAAGTGTGCATGATTTCTCTGTACAATAAACCATCAAAATCATACACATATACTTTTACCTTGGAAGCTTCCTCCTCATTGTGTCTAATACTCTAAGATCAAGTACTGTTTCTCAAAAGCTCATATTAACTCTACTCTGCAGTGTTGCTTTTCTCCTTCTTTTTAATCTAATCATTCCCCAGTAGCACACAGTTACTGGTCACACATTTTAAAAAAAAATAATTCAACAGAATCATCATGATGTTGACTTTTTGTAGCATGGTTCTTTCATTAGCAAATTTAGCCAATGAACTTAAAAGACAGGGCAATATTTTAAGTCTTTTAGAACTGATATTCTAGATTTCAAAGCTTATCATCAACATTGCTACCTAGACTGCCAACCACTCTAAATCACCCAGTAACTGTGTAGGAGCTATACTGTCATGTATCTTTTCAGAAACTGGACAAATATTAATGATTTAATTAATAATTTAATTAAGCTTACAGATCTCAAAATAGAGAAACATAGTCATAGGAAAATAACACAAATTCAAACAAATGAAAAATTTCTGTAAAAATTCAAGCCATGTGTTCCTATTCTAACACAGGCACTAACTTGCATAATGATTTGGACACTTCATAAAATAATTTACTCTCTCAGTTGTAAAGCGCATTTGAAGAAAAAGGCTACTATTTAATAATCCTGCGTATCTTCTCCTCAGGTTAACAAACTAGTATTTCTGAAGTAATGTAGAACAATAAGCATATCACTTACATATAGAGTTCTTCTCTTTATATACTGCCACCTAACTTTTATAAGTAACAGTCTCTCCATAAGTGACTAAACAGTCACCAGAAACAATAGCGCAACTCAGCTTCACACCACTTCTCAAAAGCATTGACTTAAAAAAGACACCATTGCCTTCCTCAGCTTCAAAAAAGACAGAAACCTCTGTGGCAGAGCAAACATCCCATAATATCCACTGTATCCGTGTAATAGATAGTAGCCTGCAAACACTGCAGGAAAGATGCCATTCTCGGCTGACTGAATGTAAGCAAAGTGACTACTTTGTACAGAATTCAGCCTTAGGGATCCCATGTGAGTTGTAATCAATTCCACTTGGAAAAAACAGTAATCATACTGATTCTTTTAAAAAAAACGTCTGTTCATATATATTCATGCAATTCCAGATGAAGTAGACATGAACAGCAAAAAAATATTTCAGAGAAGGATCTAAGTTTATCCAACTTTTCCAAAACATTAAAACTAGCATCATTTATTGGACTTTGAACCTTCATTACAGCAATCAAATTAAGCTTGACACAAAATTTCCATACCTTCAGGGTCTCTAGTGTTGTCACATTTCCAGTTACCATACACACAACAAAATTCTGGAGCAAAATTTCTAAACAAACTCTAGGACAAATCTTCACTACGATATTCAAAAATAATGCATCCTGAGTTTAGTGAAATTTTACAACTTGTATATCTGAGAATAACAAAATATTTTATTTTCAATATGTACTAAACTTCTTCAAAATTATAAGAACTTTTACATTTGTTTATTTGTTTGCACTTATTTCAATAGATTTTAGAATGGTACTGGTTCAAAATGACTTGAAAACAACTCATTGCAATTAACTAATATGGGTAAGGTTTTAACCCAGTACTTCTTAAACTTTTGTATTTCCGGTAGTGAGAAGACGACTTCTATTCAACGTTCTATTCCATACCTCCACACTTGCTGCTTCTACTATGAACTCTGGCAAACTGTCATTAATTTAATATTTTCAACAGAGAAATACATCACAATTGAAGACAGATTGCAACTTAGCAAATTACCCCAGCTAAGAAGTATTGCATAAGTATGTGCTCTCTGAAGTGCTGCAGCTACAGCTGAGGCAGAAAATGAGATACAAGATTTCTTTGGCTTTTGGCAACCTACTTCATGCTCAGTTGCACAGGAGAACAGGCAAGTTTGCAATGTGACATTCACTCTGCTTTCTACATTGACAACAGTACCATGGTGCTAAAAGGACTGGTTTAAACTCTCAGCTGCCTCTATGGGCATTTTGGGGAAGTAACAATGTAGACTAGTCCTGAAAAGACAGTTTACAGGGATGAAAAACAGATTATAAACTACTTCGTGTCATTTTTTAATAATATGCTGTGAAACTGGTGAGCACTGCGCCCAGACTAGCAGTGGAAGATTAACAAAATGCATGTACTTTCTTTACTGGATAAATGCTGTAAGCCACAGAGGCAATAGTAACGCCAACATTTTTCCACTGTTGTTAATCAAGCAAATGTTAGTAAGGTGATTAAACACACAAATTAATCAGAAATCTAGTATTACCATTTTAAGTGTTAGTGCCAACCACACAGTGGCATTTTAAAGTCACATAGAGTCATAAATACCTTCCTAGGATTACCCACTGCAGAATGGCACATAATACTTTAATTAGTCACACTCACCTGTGCACATTTAAATGATATATATTAAGATCTATGAGCTGCAAAAAGTGGATACTTGTACCAATTTTTTTGGCATATAAATTTACTTGGATTACCTCGTACTCAAAGTTAATGGGAAGAGAAACCCCAACCTCACTGAAACTGGTAGGAATGTTGACCCTAATTAAACAGTCCAGATTTATCCCTTCTGCTACGTATTTTCAAATTAAAGGCATGTAGTTTTTAAAGAACAAAAGTAATTCTTCATTTTTTTTATGAAATACAGTTTGTCCCCTAAATTAAGTGTAGGAAGCCAATAGTGCTAACAGCAAGCCAAAGTAGCAGTTGGTACAGTCACTTGCGGTTGGCTCTTAAGTTAGGCTCTACTTAACAGAGAAAGAACAGGACAATCGAGAGAACAAAGCCATAAAAATACCCAAAACTCTACCTTCTTTAAGTCAGGTGTCTATGTCTTTCAGTTCTTTCAGGGAACAACCACTCATCCCACGGACTAAGGGAAAATCTTACCATGTCCTGGGCCATTTACTCCATCCCCATTTAAAAGGATGTACTGTTTCAGTTCATCAGCCAGGATCACTTCTTGCTCATGCTACCAGAACAAAGCCACCTGCGTTCCTGACAAGACCCATAGATTTTGTTACAGGTGCCAGACCAACTTAAAAAGACATTTTCTCAACACACTTCACCCACAAGAGCAGCACATAATGCTGTTCCATGAGAAAACATTACCTTTTCTGATAGAGCTTCTTCTAAGGTTGCTAGTGCTGTGTCTGTGTTACTAGAATCCGTCTGCAACGACTTCACTCTGTCTTTTAGATTAGTTAGTTGTTTGTCTTTGTCCCTAAGTTGCTCCTGTAGATTTTCAATCTGAAAATAAAAACAGATCATAATATTCATCAACCTTGTCTTAACATTCAAAGAGGGACTTGGGTGGTAGGATCTATTGAATGCATACATATCACACATATGATAGGTATGCCTCAGTATACTGCCAAGTTTTTATATGGTATAGTATCAGCCGTTTTTAACTTCTGTCCTTTCTATTTTGTTTTCCTTTGCTAAAAGTATCATTTTGTAATAAATTATTGGAAAAATCTCAGTGCAGCCAAATATTTTATTATTTAAATATTTTGTGATATTAATCACTTTAGTTTAAGGTACTGCATTATCTCAGTAATTCAAAGTATGTGCAGAATTACCCCTTATAGATTATTCTAGTTGCAATAAAAAGAACAAAGAAAAGGAGAAGCGAAGTGAGTACAGTGAGCCTTAAACTGAGAAAGAAGAAAGATGACAACCTACCTATCTAAAAACCCCTTCTTCCATAACGCCCTGCTGTAAAGGAAACTCATCTGAACAGAGATCAGGATGATTATATTTCAAAAAGCCAAACCCAGATACAAAAAAAATCCCAAACAACCCAAAGGCTACTTTCTTCATGTCCATGAAGATGCAAGGTATGTCACTCTATTTTGGATATTAAAACTTCTTTAAACAGGTCTAGTTCTTCCTCTAGCAAGTATTTAAACATACTGCTAAGGTACCCATAAACGCAGTGGTTTGTTACACAGGTCATGATTTATAATGGTTAAGTCAGAAAGGTTTTGCACAAACAATTTCCCACTGGACCATGTGGATTTTGAAGCAAATCTGAATAAAAGCACTCAGCTTCTGATTGTCACAGCAATCACCTTCTACGGCTGCAAGGCAGCATGACCTGCTGCACATAGTGCAGGGAGGACATGTGGTATGTCAAATGTGTAAAATTTTATTAATTGTCTGTCAGAAGAATCAACTTCCCTTTGTCCTACACTCTCACTGCCACTCACTATTATGCTACTGGCATAAAACCAAAATTTGTTCCATAATACTTAGCACAAATAAATAGTAACAAGAAAATTGCCTATTATTTTGGTATGCCACTTTATATAATATGACAAAATATGCCCAAACCCATAAGATATCATTTGTTCAAAACCGGTTTTAAATATGCTGTTAAAAATAGACAAATTATTACTGTCAACAGAGATTCAAATTCTTACTTTCATCGGTGATTTTACACTTTGGATCACGTTCTGTTGCTACTGAAATGAATGAAGTTTTGCTGTTCATTTCATAAAGTAATGTACTATTTCTCACGGCCAATGTCATTTCCATTTAAAGCAATTCAGATTTTAACAGAAACAGGATCCTTCATAATTACTGTTAAACTGTATTTAAAGATTCTTTTTACAAACCTGAAGCTGAATTCAATGCAGGTACAGCTCCGCAGAAGTCAAGTTACATCAATAAAAATTTGGTCTGCATATGCAAAAATGTATCACCATAATCAAACACACTTTAATTTGAGACATACTTTGGTAAAAATTCTCCTCCTACTATATTATACATGTGCAGGAGAAAAGGCCTGAAGTTAAGTTTTGACATCATATATATCTCTATAATTAACAAATCATAAAATCCACAGCTGTGTGCACTGTATTAAGTTTATTTAAATAAATTTAAATTTTAAAAGAACTTAAAGGCAAAATAAAATAAAATTTGAAAGTAAATTTGGAGGAGCACATTCCAATTAGAAATTCATTATAACAGTATGGCAAATATAAGTATTGTACATTTTTTCTTTTTCTTTTTCTTTTTTTTTTTCTCTTTTATATATATGATTTAGTATGTCAGATTACTGCTATGGGACAAAGATTCCACTTGCCCTGTAAACTATAAAATACTAAGGTATATATAAAAAGATTTTTTGGGAAGAGCTGACATAGAATAGCTCACTCTTGTAAACGACCTCTCATAATATTTTTCTTCGTGTGTATATTTTATACAGATACAGAAATAAGATACATGTGTTAATGAGTTAAGAACTTTTTATTTTATGGCATGTGTATTAGTCACATCTAAAATTACATTAACTGGCATTCAGAGGACTGCACACCATGTTTCTTTCTTTACTTTCATCCAAGTATTAATGATTCCAACAACTACCTCATGACACCCTGTGGAATACTTAAGTAACTGCACATTTCAGCTTCAAAACAAATTCTCAAGCAAAAAGGAAATAAAACAGAAGAGTGAATATTGATTACATGTTCTTTGAAACAAAGTTAAGATCTGGTCCTTTATTATCATCAGCTTGACCTACCAATTCTAGGCACCCTAAATTAAAGTACTTATTTCCTATGCACAGTGCTTATCTGAATTCCACAGCATTTACACGATTTCCTTCCTCTTAAAACTAATTTAAAATATGATCCAACCCTTAACCAAGAAAACATGTTCTAAAATTATTCAGCATTTACAAAATTCTTTCCTCAGAGGTAAAGAGAACAGGCAGCAAATTAAAAACATCCCCATTGAATCACAACTGCTTTAAAATAAGTCATTCAATGAGTAGCCCATAGATAAAATAAGAGGAAAGGATCTGATTATTCTTCTATTCCTGCTATATAAATCTGAAGGAAATACTTTGATGGCCACAGGACCACACTGGGGTACGTGAAAGTAGAATCAGTACCACAGAGTATTTGTTTGTTTGTTGGGATGGGCAGGGGATTAGCATAGGTCTGCTAACGCAGACAAGACTTTATGACCAGTTAATCACAACGAGTTCTCTCAAGAAGATGACAGGAGGCAAAGAGATTGAGCAGTCTCACATGCTGAAATGTTGGAACACAAGATATGATTTAGTTCTTCCTGGGTTTTTTAAACCCAGAAAGAACAACAAACCCTCTGGTAACCTCTGTCTTTCTCCAACATATATTTGGGCACAGGCAGATATGTAAGGGTACCATTTTATTGCTGGATAATTACTTACTCTTGAGTATGCCTGAATTAAATTTATGACAAGGACTGTTAAGACTTTCTAAATCCTCAAGCACTTATATTTTTATCTAATAGGAAATTAGTTACTGTGTAGTTTTGTCAACATGTAATTCTTACCTCTGTAAACTGCTATGTCCCGGTGCCATGAGCTGTATGAAAAGAAACTGCTCCATTCTTTCTGCATTTCAGAAAGTGTGTGTATTCCCAGAGCTTAAGACAGACTTTATGCCTTTTCAAAACACAATACCATTACAGATAAATGTCTTTCCTATGAGGCATCCTGTCAATAAACTGCAAGTGCTGATCCTGTCACTTTTTGGCGATGGTCTCAGGAATGCTTCTTAAATGCTGAAGGGATTAAATTAAATCTCACCCGCAGACAGGCTTTAAAATTCTACAGTAACCCAAGTTTTCAAAAGAAAATTACTTTCATTATCAAACTTAAGGTACTGTACTATGGAATTTGCAAAAAAATTATATAATCAAAGAAAATGTTCCATGCTATAACAATTTGCCTTTAGAAATATGCATTAAAGTATAAAAATTTAAGACAGCGTAAGAGAGAATTCATCAGAGACTTCCTAAGCCGAGCTAGTGAAACAGTAAAGCCATATACTTAAACTTAGCTCCATGTATTTTCCTCTCTTCTCTGTATTTGAGTTTTAAGTAACTCAGACAACAAGTAGTTTGCAACACTGGCTTTTTTAATGCTAAAATTCATTTTGCTCTATTCTAAATTGAAAGGTTGGACCAGATGATCCTTGAGGTTCCTTCCAACCTGGTATTCTATGATGCTTATAAATTTCTCTAGGCAGAACCATTTGAGATTTGTTACATATTAAAGCACAGGTCACGTCTTCATGTGTCTTCCCATGTGCCAGTGAAGTAGATCAATAATATAAGATTAGTTTCATTTACATTGCAAATTGAAACACAGGGGAGAAAACAGAACTTTTGTATATACCATTTTTATTATTTACTAAAAAATTAATCTTACTATTTATGAAAGCAAATTCTACTGAACAATTTCCCAAGTACTGCTACATTCTACTTTAAACAGTTAATGGAATTAAAAGAAAAAGAGATCTAATGAACAGCAGCATTCATCCAACATGAGCACTAACAAGACTGCTTTAGACCATAGTATTCATTCTCAGACTTTAGCTGCTGCCTCATAGATATACATAACAAAAGACAGAAAACGTAAATATTAATCGAAACAGAAAAAAAAATAGCTAGGTCTAGTTCAAATGCAAATACTCTAAATGTCTACTTACAGACAATTTATTGTTGTTAGTAAGAGCGATGATAATTGTTCTCTCTCATATGGTCCTTCTCAGAAACGTTTTGTCATATCCCAGAACATGAAACTAGCTATGGTAGTAACTCAGTAAAATAGGTGTATTTACAGATGACCTAACACCTCCATTTTACATGTGTGCGCGCACGCATGTTTGTGTGTGCATGCATAATTAGTAATTAAATACCCAGAAAAGACTGAAATAATTTTTCCCTACCACAACTGTAAAAATATTACTACCTGAAAGCTCAACATAGAGAGGTATAATTTCTGGAAAGCACAATAGATTTTCAGCCAAAAATTTTTACCGAATGATGCACAGTTACTAAATATCAAGTCAGTCAAAGTATTTTAAAATTAACAGGCTTTATAGCAGCTATTTGACATTTCAGCCTACAGGGCAAGAGGGGGAAGCTACGGCTCCATAGCTTTCCACTAACAGTCATGATATGACCTAAATACATTTTTCAGTTTAAGCAGCATTTCAATTAACAAAATTAGTTCATTGAAGGGCAACTTCTGCTTCAACAGTTTGACATTGCAGAATTGTCTTTTGTTTTGAAAGAGACTAGCCCCAAAAGTGCTTCATCATTCAGTACCACTGACTTTCACTTCGTTTTTCTTCCTTTTAAGGAGGTAGACAGACAAGCATTAATTAGGAATATTTTTTCAAAAGTCAAAATACATATACATTTAGATTCTAAAACTTAAAATAAATGTTATATTGAAAAATTATACTATA